TTACTCCTCCCAAACCACAAAGGGCCCAGCGAGTGCCATGGAGGGGAGCTGTCCATGGGCAGCTGAGCCCTCACCACCCCGCGGAGGGCTCAGGGCTGGAGGGCCAGGATGGTGGGGTTTGGCTTCCCAGCAGCATCTTCCCCCTTCAGATGAGTCAGTGAAGAAACACCTTCAGTGGAAGTGAACCGAACTGGGTCTTGGAGTCCCTCCACAACTTCATGTTCTTCCTCCCCATGTGATGATAATTGCCCTCGCACGTCCCACTGACTATCCTGGTTTCTTCTCACAACAATCCCACGAGGCTGAAGAGTCAGGGATTATGATGACATGGAAAGCTCACGGGCCTGGAGTCAGAGGGCCAGGCATGGGGTCCCAGTCCTGCCACCAATCCACCTCGGAACCTCAGGCAATAGATCTGTGTTTCCACTGGAGGTGCACAAGATGACATCAGGTGATAGACGAAAAGCTTAGTTTCGATGGATAGATGGATAGATGGATAGATAGGAAGCGTTACCATCTGTTTATGGCAAGTGATATACATTTCATATAAGTTTCCATATAAATCCATTAATTTATATAAACAGATTTAAGTATTAAGTAGGAGACTAGGTCATATATAGATATGGTGAAATCATGAAGGAAAGTCTAGGGAAGCGTGTTTAGGAAACACTGGGGGAGAAAACGAACCTCTCAGCTCCCTAGCTTCCTAATCCATTAAGTGGGGATAACTCCAGCTGCCTCGTCAGACTCCCGGAGCAATTGTGGGGATCAGACGAGGTCATGTAGAAGACAGAGCAAGTGCTACACACGTGTGAGGGGTTATCATTTCACAGTCAGAATCCGACGCACAAAAGGTTGGTGAATCTGCCCCATGTGGAGTGGCCGAGTTAGTCAGCTGGAGTGGGCCAGGTCTCCACAGGACAGCACGGGGCTCTTTACAAACCGTAGGAGGGTGCCCGGGGGGCATCCAGCTCCACCACAGGGAGGAAGCCAGGGGCTGGTTTAGATTGCAGTGGGAGGATTAAAGTTTGACAGGAAGAAAATGTTTAGAATGAGACATTTGGAGGCCCAGAAGATGCTGGGGGTGGGAGATGGGCTGTGGGGTGGGGTGGATGCAAGGAGGGTGGTGAGACCTTTCTCAGAAAGGGTTCGCACAGCCGTCTCTAGGATACGCTTATCACGGGTGTTGTGCTTGGCGGTGGAGCAGGCTAGCTCTGTGCCTGTGTGCACACGTGTGTGTACAAGCGTGTGTGAGTGTGTGTGAGCTGGGGTGGAGAAAGACGGTAGTGCCTGTTAGAGCCATTCCCACTCAAACGAATCAGAACTAATTAGGCCTTCTTGTGACTTTTCCACCTGAGCCCTGAGGGCAAGTTGGGTATGACTTGGCACCATCCTGAGGCACTGGGAGGCCAGAGAGGAACTCATCACCTACAGCATGGGATTTAGTGTTCGTTTGTAGCTCGGGACTTTCTCAGGTTTGGCGCCTCTCCTTTACGCCCACCCCACGTTGCTCTCTCTTCTCCCTCTCGGCCAGAGAAACCTTGGGATCTGAGCGGGTCCCACGCTCTGGGGAAGACAGCAGCCTGCCCTCTGGCTCTTTCTCCTTGGGTGACATCACTCCCCCGGGGCTGGGAAAGGCAGCTCCCTTCTCCATCAGGCGCCCCAGCCGATGCTCCTGCCTCCCCACTCCCTGGCCTCCCCGTTTCCCACACTTGGGCTTCCTTCTTCCATCCTCAGCCCCCTCACGGCTGCCTCTTGCGCTCCAAGGTCAGCGCTCTGTGGCCGGCTGACCGAATCTGGCTGGACTGTGGGCAGGAGGATGCGAGGCTTCCCTTTTCCTTCCTCTGTGTGGTGCCAGGGTGGGAAAAGGGACCAGACGAGACGTTTCTCCTCAATCAGACCAGACAGGTGAACGCAATCCTATCACTACTGCGTGTTCAGGTTCACTGAGGAAGAAATGTTCTGGAAGTTCTCAGGAAGTCTTAAGATAACAGCCAAAATCCACCTGTAGGCCACGCATAAACACACATTACCTCATCTCGTCTGTCCAAAGTTGGACCAGGCAGGAACTCTTATTCCCATTTTAAAGAATGGAGAAATTGGAGTTCCCTGGCGGTCTAGTGGTTCGTAGGAGGCAGCACGTTCACTGAAGTGGCCCAGATTCAATCCCTGGTGGGGGAACTAAGATCCCGCAAGCCGTGCAGGGCGGCCAAAAAAAGCAAGAATGGAGAAATTAAAAAACAATTTAAATAGCTTGCTCAGATCACACAGCTATTACATGGCAGAGCTGGGATTTGAACCCTGTTCCGTTTGTCTCCAGAACCCAAGATCTTAACCAATGCACTATCATTTTCCATAGGGCTGCAACTTCAGCTCTTATTTACTTAAATGGGGCCTCTGTTTTATGGGCATCCCTGAATTCATACATACCCACACATTCATTCTCACTTTAAAAAGGTAGAAAATGTCAGCATTATTTCTTAAGGATTTTTCCATACTGGAAGGGATTGAATGGGGTCATTTCATTCCTCCCACCGCTTCTGACCTGGACTGTGTTTAGCCTTCTGGAAGGAAGCTGGCACGCTCCGACTCTGTGCCTCTTGGTGAAATGAAACCTTGAGAAAGGTTCCTGACCCTTCCTCCCTGGGTAGTGGCTTACTGAGGGCAGCAAGCAATTTGGGGTGCTCAGTGGTACTCAGTGTATGTTTTATGGATATGTAGTAAGTGCAGAGGTGCTAGCTGGGTTCTGGGGCAACACAATGATGTGTAGATCTCAGTCCCTGCCCCCAAGAGGTAGATGCTCAATGAATGTTTCATCAGTGACCCAGCACTTAAATGCACAGAGGAGCTGTGAGTAGCAGGACGACAGGGAAGAGCGTTTTAAGTATCACAGAAGAGGTTCTGATGGGAGTGTGGGGTGTATACGGGAGTAGATTATGCTTCTGAGTGGCGAGTGACAGGGTCGGAGGTGTGTGTCGGGAAGCCTGATTTGGTGGCCTGCAAGGAGGCTTCTGCAGCATTGCAGGGGGTAGAAGGGCAGATGTGCAGCATCTGGGGACAAGAACGGCCAGTGGGGTGGGAAAGCCAAATATGACCCTGAGGTTCCAGGTTGGGGTGAGTGGTATGAGGCAGGGGGCAGAAATAGGAGAGTCGGTGCAGCAGTTTGCCGGGAAGGGACCTTGAGGAGTTTGGTTTGGGGCTCAGAGTCTCCTGACTCTGCTCTGGGTCTTCCAGTTGTGGCTGAGCTGCCTCCAGAAGGAAGGGGTCAGGAAGGTAGAAGCCAAAGAGGCCAGAGCAGGGGGCCGTCAGCAAGCGTGGCCACGCCACAGGCTGTGTCTCCTGCTGCTGCTGCTGCCACTCAAATGGAGCATGCTTGCCCAGCAGCCTGGCAAACCCCAGGCCGTGAGGCCCCGAACCACCACTTCTTGCAGAGCGGGGGCAATCCTACACTCAGCAACGGCTTCCTTGCCCTCAGCGACAGTCAGTCCTCCACTGTCTGTTAGCACTGCTGGCTCAGGAGAGCCTGGGCTGGCCCCTAACCCCTACCAAAGCCCGAGTTGGCAGGGGAGGGTGTGACCCTAAAGCCTGAGAGGGTCAGCTGCCAGCACAGCGCTGCAGAGCCTCTGCGCCTGCCCTCCCAGGCCCTGCACCCCTCCACGCTGTGGGCTTAGCTCTGTGCGTTAGGACAAGGCTGGGAGGTAAGATGATCCCGGTGGGTCTCTGGGGGGCTTAAGAAACAGATGGTCCCCTTGCCTGAGGTTTGCCGTTGTAACATGAGCAGATCTGGGGAGGGAGCTGGCGGAACCAAGGCAGCTTGGGCCCGGGGACGGGAACCTCGTGAATGTTATCAGACAAAGCATCCCCTGCCCAGCCTCCAAACTCGGCCCTCACCCAAGTCAATCTCTTAGCCCCTTCCAGCTGGCGCCTGGGACTCGGGCCTTAGACACCCACAGAGGGGCTGGGGAACTGGCCCCCAGTGTCCCCACTCTTGGCTAGGACAGCAGAGCCAATTGGGCCAAGAAGGCAGGAAGAGCACTGGAGCCAAGTTTGAGAGCAGCTGAGAGGGGACAGGTGTTGGGAAGGGAGAGAAGGGCTGGGCAGAGCTGGGCAGGGGTCTCAGCAAACAGGAGCTTCATGGCTCCTTATCTGTCTCCTGACCTGCCAGATGTGAACAGCAGTGAAAGGAAACCCCAGGCCTACCCTCCCTTTCTCTTAGGGAATCTGAGCCCCTCCTCTTCCCTAGCGTCCCTCTCAGCCCTCCTCCACTGCCCAGCCATCCTGAGGCAGTGCTTGGTGGTTAGGACTCTAGCATTTGGAGTGAGACGTCCTGTGTTTGAGTCCCAGCAGCGTGAGCCATGTGACCTTAGGCAAGTTACTTCACCCTCACCGTGGTTAACTCATATGTTAACGTGAGAATTATAGTACCAGCCTCCTAGGGTTTATATAAAGATGCAATGAGGTGATGTGCACGGGGTACTTAGCTCAACTCCTGTTACATGGCAACTGCCCACAAATCGTTGTTGTCTTCATCATCCTCATCTCAGGGAGGCTCAGGAGGAGAGGGCACAGACACAGAGGACACAGGTGGCCACTGGAACTTTCTGTACCGTCAGACTGATCTCAGTGCCACCTCTTACCGTCTGTGTAATCTTGAGCTAGTTACTTACGTGCCTCAGTTTCCTCACCTGTAAAATAGGAACAATAATACTACCTCACAGAGTAGTTGGGGAGATTAAATATAGATTAGTTATACATATGCATATATGTATACATATATGCAGCTCAGGACGGTGCTTGTCTTAGCAAGCCAGCTGCCGTTTATAGTATTTCCTTTATCCAGCCATATCCGTGTCAAAATTCCTCCCCTCCCAGCCCTGATCTGCAGTGTACTAGGCTGTACAGAGATGGGGTCAGTGGCAGGCTGGAATGACCCTGGAGGTGTGTGTTTGGGGAACAGCCCTTCCCCCTGGCTCACAGGCCCTGTGCTCTCTCCCCTGCAGATGTCCATGAAGGAAGTGGGCGATGGCTTGCAGGATCAGATGAACTGCATGATGGGGGCGCTGCAAGAACTGAAGCTCCTGCAGGTGCAGACAGCACTGGAGCAGCTGGAGATCTCTGGAGGGGGTCCTGCCCCAGGCTGCCCTGAAAGCCCCCGGACGCAGCTCGAGCCCCCTCAGTGGGAGGGTGGCAGCGGTCCTGCCAGGCCTGCGGGCTGCTCCCCCTCCAGCCAACCCGCTCTGGGCAGCAGCGCCAAGCTTCCATCTCCTAGGAGTGTGTGTGGGAGGGATCTGGCTCCCCCGCCCAGGACACGGCTGCCAGAGCACCAAAGCTGTGCCCAGCGGGGGCCAGAGCTGGTGGAACCGGATGACTGGACCTCCACGTTGATGTCCCGGGGCCGGAATCGACAGCCTCTGGTGTTAGGTGACAACGTTTTTGCGGACCTGGTGGGCAACTGGCTGGACTTGCCGGAACTGGAGAAGGGTGGGGAGAAGGGTGAGACCCGGGAGGCAGGAGCCCCCAAAGGAGGTAGGGGCCCGCCGCGGGAGCTGGGCCGCAGGTTTGCCCTAACAGCAAACATCTTTAGGAAGTTCTTGCGTAGTGTGCGGCCTGACCGTGACCGGCTGCTGAAGGAGAAACCAGGCTGGGTGACACCCACGGCCTCTGAGCCCAGAGCCGGACGCTTGCAGAAGGGCAAGAAGCGGGGCCATTCCAAGGGCTCTGGACATTGCCCCTTCCCAGGTACCTCGGAGCCCAGACGAGGGGAGAATCCTTCCACCAGCTGCCCCAAGGCCCTGGAATCCTCACCCTCTGGCTTTGATGTTAACACAGCAGTTTGGGTCTGAATCCTAGAGGTAGAAATTTGACTGACCCAAAAGGGCCAGGTCCCAGTGCTGGGCCCCTGGGAAAGAGGCCAGGTGGTATGGCTTTCAAAAGCCTAACTCCAAGTCCCTTCCGCCGAGAAGGGAGGGAGAAGCAGCAGAAGGTCTGGAGCAGAGCTGACAGGCCTGTAGTTGGGCGAGGCTGTGCTAGGGGCTGGCTGGTGGGGGAGGCAAGAGTCCCTGGACAGAGAGAGAGAGAGAGAGAATGTGTGTGTATGTTGCTTTGGGGCTGGAGGTGACAGCAGGAGAGGGGCAGGGGGAGAAGACCAGGAAATCCTTCTGACATTCCTTCACTGCCCCCAAAGGCCTCAGTGTAACATTCTGCATGGATCGGGCACTGGGGCCACAGGTTCCCCAGAGACATCGCCAATAAAGACCTTGTTTCTCGTGTCCCCAGCCTCATAACTGTTCGCTTCCTTGGCAAAGCGCTGCTCCAGGCACAGGTAGTAAAGCCTGGCCCTCCTGGGAGTGGGAGCAGAGAGGCAAATTCCCACCCCCTTCTGTTGCCCTCGAGATTTCAGCCCATCCCTGGACCCTGAGAAACGGCTGACTAAGGAGTGTGTATAAGGAGTGCTTGGGGAAGCCCCAAGCCTTTCCGGAAGCACAGGAAAGGAAAGCTACTATTTGTATAGCACGTTAAATGTCTGAAAGCCTTTTCATATCCATTATCTCCTTCGTAAATGGGCGAGAAAGGCAGGTATTATCCCCATTTTCCAGATGAGGAAGTAAGCCTGGATGTGCTACCTGTCCAAGTACAGGCCGCAGGCAGGGGCTGACTGAAGAACAGACGCCGGGCCCTGGAATCACACACACTCCTTCCCCAACACCCTGTCTCCAGCTCAGAACCTCCACCCAGGGCACAAGAACATGTGAATTCACCAGTGAGGCAAGGTGAGCCAAGAAGAAATACGCACTCATTTTAAAATGCCTTTGGCCTCATCTTCCCACCTTGTCCAGGATAACCCAGGGTGGAGGGGCAGCAGCTCAGCTCCGGCACCCGTGGCTACACCTAAAGCCGTGCTGGGCACGTGGCCGGAGAGCAACGCTGCCAGATCCAGGGCCCGCCTGCCTGTCCCTCCCACCCTGGCAGGGAACGCCCACTGGCTGGGAAAAGACAATGTGGGTCCCTGTTTGGGCCGAGCCTGACCAGCAGGGCAATCCGTTTCTCCTCCCTCACCTCTTCCTGGCTGAACTCCCCTCTGCCTGATGGGGAGTGACAGCTGCAATTAGAGGCAAGCCGCCTTCCCGCCCTCAGAGCATTTAATACCAAATTGTAGAGGAAAAAAATAACAAGAGAGGCTCTTCCTGAATCCTGGACCCCTGGGGGCAGAGATGGAGGGAGGGGGCTTAGAGCGAACAGCCCCACAGCTCTAGTTGGGAAGTGATTAGGGTCACCCTCAAATTCCCACGCAATCAAATGGTAGATGTGTAGTTTTCGGTGGCAGAAGCTACGAGAGGAAAGGTGCTTATTAATTTTTGTGTGTGTGTGTGCGCGCGCAATGGCTATCGGCCAGGCAGTGTGCACGCGTCTTTCAAACTTCAAAATGACCCTAGAAGGTATTGTTAATACCTGGTAATTCAGTGGAGGCTCTTAGGGGTCCTGTAAGCTGCCCATATGAGGTTACTAGCAAATGAAAGAACCAGGATCTGAAACAGAGGGATGTCTGGCTCCAAAGCCTGTTCTTTCCTCGTGTCTCCCTGGAGTTTACCAACCGAGCTAGCCCTTTCTGGAGGAGGAAGCCCCTGCCCATCCTTCCTGTCTCCCCACAGAAATCTGAAATCCATCCTGGGTGAAGGCCCATTGGCTGTGGCTGCCTTGGGTGGTGGAGTGATGTGTGTGTGTGTGTGCACACGTGTAGAATGTGTGTGTGTGAAGATTCCACCTACTGAATCGCTGAGTCCGGAGAGGAGGGAGCCATGGGCTGCTGGATGGGGGAGAAGTTATCCAGCAGTTATTAAAGAAGGCACCAGCTCCGAGTCAGGAATGATCCTACAGGAAACCAGGTCACCTCTTGGCCATTCATCTGTGACGCATCAGTTTTGTGGACAGTCATTGCGATTCAGACCAACTGAACAAAACTTTCTGAACACTTCCCAGTGCCAGGCATTGTGATAGGAACTAAGAACAGAGCAATGACAAGGACCCAGTTCCTGACTCAAGGGGTCCAGTAGGAAGAAAGAAGAAACTCTTAACCCAAAGGTTAGCCAGAAGGGATCCAAGGGAATGAAAACTCACTGTAACGTGGGCCAGAACTAAACAATGAGTGACACATGCTGCCACAAAATCCGCAGGTGTTGGGCACTGCCTGCTTCGTGCTCTTATTTCCTTACCACATTCTGGAAATAGCTGCTGTTACTCCTATTTCACATGGAGAGGCTCAGAGAAGTTTAGCAACTTGCAGAGGGTCCCAGTGCCAGAGCTGGGATTGAAATAGTTCCAGCTGACTTGCAGGCTTGCGCTTTTCACACCGCCCCACAAACTGTCCATATTTACTCCAAAGCCAAGTCAAGAGGAACAACAACAAAACCCATCCTCCCCGCATTATCCACGCATGGAGAATAAATGGAATGCTGGCTGCCAGTGGCGGAATTTTGACCGGGTCTTGACAGGGCTGATGTAGTGCCCCGTCCCGTGCTTTGACGATGAAAGATTAGGGCCGATTCATGTGTGTCCCCCCACCCCCATTATTTTGCCTTCTCCGTCCCCTTTTGGGCTCCTGCCTGGAAAATGATGGAGACTATTTTACTGACGCTGAGGGGAGAGGTGAATGGGAATGCGTGTGGCCTAAGTGATACAGGAATGTGGGGGGGGGGAGCCATGTGTGAGGGGAAGTAGTGGAAGGAAGCTGAGAGAAATTGACAGCTTAATGCTGCCCTTGGGGCTCATTTTATGGTTAATTAGGACATGCAAATAAGCTGGAAGTTCATTTGATACCCTCCCTGGCATGGGGTCTGCCTCACACCTGGCCCACTTCCCTGGCAGGTACCGGGGTCCCCTGATTGGCTCAGGCATCTGCTCAGGACCCCACCTGCTTCTCTGTGGCCCTGAGACCAGAGTGTGTCTGTAGATGATCCCTGGCCACAAGCAGGAGCTAGAAGAGTCCCTGTGGCTGGAGGGCCTGCCTAGTCCCTTTCTCTTCCCATCCCTTCAGCCCTGGGACCCCTCTTTCCCAGAGGGTCCCTCTTCCTCAAGCACTTCCGCTGCACCACCCCTCAGGTGGAGAGCCGAACTCAAACTTGCCCCGAGGACCAGAGACCTGACTCAGCTCTGTCCCCGCCACGTGGCCCTGTTCCGCAGAGTGCTGTTGCAAGCGGGGCGCCCCCATCTTTCCCGAGTCACAGCAACACTTCCTACAGGGCCTCCATAAAGCGGGAGCACAGCCTGTCTCTCGGTGGGTATCTGGCTTTCAGCGCCCACCAGGTGCCTTCCCCAGCCAGGGCAGTCACGGCACTTCTGCCGGTACCCGGGCATGGGCACTGGATTCCGGAGTCAAACAGGATAGGAGACCCACTTGCCCGTCACTGTGTAAGCTTGAGTGGGTGGCTTAACCTCCCTGAGCCTCACTGTTCTTGGTGTGAAATGGCGAAAACACAGGGCTGCTGTGAGATGTGAAGGACGTGAGGCACCTCGGGCTCTAGAACCCAGCAGAAGCTCAGTATGTATCAGATGAGCAACCGTCACTTCAGGCGCGGACCAAGTGACCCAGGGCAAAAAACACTGAAAGATCAAGAACAGCTTTCTCAGAGCCTTGGTCTCCTCTTCTGGCCCTATTACCTCACAAAACTGTAACAAGGATCAGAGAAGACAATAAGTGTGAACATGTTTTTGTACATTGTAAAAATATTACCCGGATGGGCTATTTGCCAAACGGCAAACAATTTACACTTTTCCGTGGAAGGATATGTGTGTGCACGTGTGTAGGGGGCTGGGTACGGAGGGGCAGCAGCATAGGCTGAGCTCAGGAATGGTGCTTGAAGACCCCCCACTGCCTGAGGATGTGCTCTAGGGAGGACCCCCCCCCCCCCCCCCCCCACCCCCGCTCCCTCACAGTAAACCCTCAGGGCCCGCGCATTCCTGGCAAGGACTAGAGAGGTGGACGAGCCAAGTTCTGATGGTTTTGAGGAGTCAGTGTCGCCACCCCACACTCTCACCCACATCGCTCTCTGAAAGCGTCTTTGTGTTACTGGTCAGAGAGAGGCCTCCAAGGAACAAAGAGGGAGGGAGCCCTTCTTGGGCACCTAATCCTCAACACAACACTTGGGGCAAAAATAATCTGGCAGGGAGCCATGACTGCACCTCACACTCCTCCGCCTTCTCCCTGCATCTTGGCCAGGCTGGGCCCTGGGTCGGGGAGGGAGCAGGGTCTCTGACTCTCCACCAGGTCTCAGGCCACAGCTGCCGCGCTTCCGCTCCCTGGCTTCCACTCCACTGAATCCATTCCCTGTACGCCCCTCTGGACCCATCCCTCAAGACAGCCGCCCTGTTCCGGGGGCATAGGAATCACTGCCAAAAATGCCCTCCTGTGTGCTCTGCACCTCCGGCAGAAGCCCACCACGACCCAGCTCTGGGCTCTCCGCCCTGCCCCCTAGTTCTTCCCACTGGCGGGGGTTGGGGGGGGCGGGGGGCAGGTTCAGGCACAGCAGATGCCACCTGGTTTTTGGGGGAGGTGCCCCCATCCAAGGGAAGAATCAGGTTTTGTTTCCCTGTTTCCCCCGCTCTGCACATGTTACTCCCCTGGCTGCTTTCCCTTTCCTCCTGTGCCTCCCCCTCAGGCCCCTTCCTCACCTCCCCCTGCCGACCGGAGGCTGGAGCCCGCAGCTGCAAGGAAATGCTGCCTGGGCTCTGGGAGGACAGAGGAGGTGAAGGAAGTGTCTTCAAGATCCTGTGACTTCATCCTCATTGGGCCTGTCTTCCGTGGGTGTCTGGAGGCCCAGTCCTTCCCAACAGACCCCAATGGACTTTCTCAGCCTTACTTCTGGGCACATCCCACCCCCCAACTTGACGCTCCAGGGAGGTGAGCACTTTGCTCCAAGCTTGGGGTTTTTATGCCTCTAGGTCTTTGCATTGCTGTTTCCCCACTGCCTCTGACCGGCTGACCTGTTAACGTACCTTTCAGTCTGCAGTTTAGAGGGCATCTCCTCTGCGAAGCCCTCCCCAGGGGCTTTATCTGAGCCTGTACCCAACCACAGGACTTACTTTGTAAGTCACCCTAGCAACTCCTCTCCCACCACTCCTGTACCTCCAGCACCGTGGAGCACAGGGCTCTCGACGTGACCTCCACTCCTCAGAGTGAACCCTCTGCTGAGCCCGGCTCCTGCATCTCCTGCTTTAGGCAAGACCAGCAGTCAAGGCCCCTCAGCTGCCTCCCCAGGCCCACTTCTCACTCCACTCCCCAGGAGAGGGGAGCTGGGGCCAACATCACTTTCAAGAGAGTAAACTCCCCATCCTGAGCCCCCCTCCCCAAACTGTTGTGTGGTGCCCTCTGTCCCTGGCCCGTTGCTTTGGCGTCTCCACCCTAGCTTTCCAGGCCAATTCTACCGTAACACGGGCTGTCTGAGGAGCCCTGGCCCTCCCCCTCCCCCTCCCACCCAGCTCCCTGCCCCTGGCATGCTGTCATCCAGCCGCCCAGAGCTCAGGTCCTGCAGATGACCGCAGCCACTTCTCTTCCATGCCTGCTCAATCCCAGTGGCTCCCTCTTTCCATCCTGGAGGACATCGCTTTTACCCCAGCCTCCAAGTTTTATCCCCTTCTACTTGCTCCCTCTCAACAGGTCGTCCTGACCTGGCTCATCTCCTTGTCCTTTCTGGCAACAACATCTGGCCCCAGACTTACCCTACCGTAGTTTTTCTTAACCTGCTTTGCCAGGGATCCCCGCCCCTGCTGGGGACATCGAGTCTGCTAGATTCTGCTTGCCCCATTGTAATTGTGGAGGGTCAGGGTGGGGCAAGGGGGAAGGAAGTTGAGAGCTGGGTGCTCAGCGCCTTCCCTCCCTCCAGCCCCACTACTGGCCACACTCCAGACATTGTCTCCCAGCAAGGCAGCATGCGTATCAGTCGTTTGTGTAGAAGTGGTGGGAAAGGGGAGGGTATCAGGCATAAAAAGTTTTCTAAAAGCAAGAAGTAGCAACATTTGGAGGTTCCTCCAAATGGTGTTCAAGTACAGCAACTGAAATCCCTGCATAGACTCTGCTCCTCAGGCAGAGGTGCCAAGGCTGGTGACTTCATCCCGGACGGCCACCAAGTAGTCACTCAAAGCCTCCTACGTGCACTGCTTAGGGACAGGCCTAGGGAGCTTCCTCCTCATCACAGGGAGCACCGGGCAGACTGACTCAAGCAGGTGTTAGAATCCCCGATCTGAGGTTCCAAGCATCTGTTCAAATAAGTCAATTTATATTCCAGAAAATAAGGGGTTAGGGGACTGTATCAGTGATTTCAAAGGCCCGAAGAATTCCAAAGCTCCTGGTCTTGGCTTCGGGACCCTACAGGGAACATAGGGATCAAATATCTTCTTTAAACTTCTCCATTAAATGTATCCCCTCCCAGGGAAGGCAGGCAGGGCCCAGTGCCTAGTCCCACAATTCCAAATCCTACTCTCCATAATGGGAAGACTGCATGCTTAGCATCACTTAATGCCGGTGGCTCCTTCAAACTCCCCAACCCACCCAACTAGAGAGATACTAGTGATGCAAAGGGCAAGGGAGACGGGGGCTACAGAAGTGCGGCTTGTGGCTTTGCTTTCACCCGCAAGGGAAGGCCTGAATGATAGGGTCTTGGTGGGAAAGTTGGCACCTACCCAATAGGAGTGGATTAAGGAAAAGAGCCTTCTTAATCAAAATGGTAGATCCCCAGGGAAAGGAAGGGTCTGAAGGGCCAGAGGGGCTGCTGTCTCCTGCTGTGAGGTAACAGTAAAGAAAGGAAAACTTGGGAGGGTGTGAAGGTGGGAACTAATTACCCACCCTGTAGGTACCAAAGGGTCTGAGGGGAGAATTATGTCAAGTGAAGCAGAGGAATACAGAGCCAAAAAATGACTTTTCTCTTCAATCCTCCCTAACATCTTTGAGTGCCAAAGTGTTAATGCGGGTTCCCTTCTAAACGGAGCTTTTGTTTGGGAATGATCAAAACTATAAGTCTCAGAGATCATCGTCATTAGAGAAAGAGGGAAAAATGAAGTGCGATACGAAGCCTGGGAAGACCACTAGAATCCGTGGGGAGTAGGCCTCATAACCTCGTAATTGCCAATCCTCTTCACTTCTGAAATCCTCCCATCCCTGTCCTCTCCAAGTCACCCAGATGATGCTATGCGCTTGTTGTTTGCTTAGCTCAACCTACTAGTTGCTGTTTCAAGGCCTGTCATGATAGGGCTCCAGCCTCTTCTCTCCACATTAACACCAACTGAAACCAGATCACTCCTGGTTCCTGTTTCCTGCGCTTGCTTTTTCCTGCAATCTGCCTGTAACACCTGTTGAAAATTCCACCCTTTAAAGCCTGGTTCAACTCCCCTCTCTGGAAGCATTTCAGATCTCCCAGAACAGAAAGCATCTGTCTCTTCTGTCTCATGCTACTTTGCTTAAAACTTCTTCATGGTACCTTTTATTAGTTCTTTGTAACCTACCAGTTTCTATCCCACATTCTGTTTGCCTTCTGCCACTGTAGCCGCCCATGCTCCTATCTGGGTCAGCTTCTTCCCTTACATGCCTCCTCAGTGGACCACTCCTATTAGCACACAAACCTGCACTGTTTCATCCAGCTCAACAGTAATCCATGCCTGACATCTCCACTGTCTTTCTTTCCATTTTCTCCTACACCTACTCCAGACACTGTCCCCTACCACTCCACTGACAGCCCGTCAAGGTCACCAGTGACCTCCGCGTTCTCCTTTGCTAATTCTTCATCTCCCAACCTCATGACAGAATCCTTGGATCGCTTCTGTCTATACTCAACCCTGGTGATCCTATTCAGCTTCATGTTCTTAAATATTAAATGTAAGCCTCCTGTCCAGACCTCTTCCTCTGAATTCCAGACTCATATCCAACCACCTATCGTACAACTCTAGAATGTGACACACTTTTCACACTTAGTATGTTCAAAATCGAACTCCTGGCCCCCTCCCTCTGCCCCTTCCAAACCCGCTCCTGTCATAATCTTCACTACCTTACTGGCCAAAAATCTTGGACTCATCTTTGACTCTCTCTCTCTCTCTCACACACACTCACTCTCTCTCTCTCTCTCTCTCTCTCCATGTGTCAGCATTTCCTGTTGGCTCCACTTTCCTACTTGATTATTCAGTACCCTAACTGGCCCCTCTGCTTCCATCCTGGGCCCTCTGTAGGCTATTCTCAAATAGTATTCCTCATGGTAGGCCGAGTCAGACCATGTTTTATCCTCTGCCAAAAGCTCTTCTGTGGATTCCACTTAGTAAATGCGGAAGGATGTGTCTTCCCCCATCCCACTACCTCTCTGTTACCTCCTATTACTCTCCTCCTTGATCCCTCTGCTCCAGACACACTGGCCTCCTTGCTGATCCTTCAACACACCAGGCATATGTCCACCTTATGGCATCTGCAGACCCTTCCCACTGCATGGAAGGCTGTGCTTTCCCCCAGGCAGGTGTATGGGCTACATATTTCCAATATTTATGCAAGAGCAACTTCAGTGAAACCTAAACCTGTGACCCACTACCACCACATTCCTTCTGCCCAGCACTCCTGCCCCTTTACACTGCTTAACTCTTCTGCATAGTACTCATCTCACACACACACACACACACACACACACACACACACACAGATTTTGGTTTGTATTATTCCCCGGTGTAGCCCCAACACGCAGACCAGCACCTGGCATACAGTAGAGGCACAATTAACTATTTGCTGGTAGGCCTATAAGGATCATGCCTTGTTCTGCTCTGTAAGCCTTACAAGAACTTTTACATGGTTAAAAGTAGGCACAAGAACTTGCATTTGGTTAAGTTTAAAAAAATGCACTGAAAACAACAGCTCAAAATAAGAGTCACATCACTGCTTAAAATGGGAAGGTTTATTAAGGTTTTTCCTCCAAACGAACAGCCAAGCCCATGCTTCTTAAGAGAAGCGATTAGCAGGAAATGTATGTCACACCTTGGGCCCAGAACCACAGGAAGCTTCTTAACAAGCCAAAGAACTTGCATCCCCAATTCACTTTTAAAGCTCTTGTTGATGTCTGCAAAACACAATCCATGTTGCCTCCCAGAAAACAGAACTAGGCACCCAGTTCAAAGTCTCCAGCTGTTCTCAACAAGAATATTTAAGCAAGGTATGGCATTAAATAAGTGCACTACACATTCAACACATTCAACAAACCCAAGATGAAGTTATAGTAAGAAAAATCCATGTTCAATGCAATGTCTATGCTACATTTTCAAGAATAACTTGCATGTTTTTACATTTTTGGGGAATAGAAATGCTAAAAGCTGGGTGGTTAGACTGCCTCAAAGCTCACATTCATTTCCTCCCCGGCAAGATGGGCTCCTTCCAGATCCCGGACAAGCACCCAAACCACTCTGCCCTTTTAAGTTTGGAGCTGAGTCAAGAGGGGCTATTTTAACACACATTTAAGTAGCACCTTAAATAAGTACAAGACCCAAACAAACAAAAGGTTATTTTACAAGTTATTTTCCTCCTCCGAATACCTGACAATTTCTTCACACTTTGGTTTCACTACACACATATTTATGAGTGTATTTTACGCCCTCTAACATTCTACTATGATTGCTTACAAAGGAAAATACTGAGGTAATCTTTGTATCTTTCTGTCCCTCAGTCCTGAAAACAAAAATCGGATACGTGAACTGACAAATATATGTGTACCTATGAGGATAATGAGGCAAACTATTTGAAACTGGGCAGGTCCAGAAAATGCAGAATGTTCATATGTGGAGAAAAACAGCCTCAGACCAAGTAACCTATGTTCATAAAGTTGGTAATAAAGATCAGTATCTTCCCAAGGATTGACTTTTTCCAAGTACATTCTAACTCCAAAGACGCACACGGTTTCACCAAGGAGTAAAAGGCAGCCAGCTATGATGGCAAACCAAGCTGCCAAATACAGGTTCGTTCAAAGTTGTAGGGGAAGAGAAAAACACACCAATATCCATCTCTCTCTAAACATTCCTAAGAGAATTTGCCCTGTGGCCACAGTTCAATGAATTACAATGCTATACATATCTCTGGCGAATTTCTTATATCTTCTCTGCCCAATTAAATTGCAAACTCTTGAGGGAGGGCCTTCACACCTCTTTGTGAGGCACACAGTATTTATAGAATAGATGGCTTGAATATCTACTTTTAATTCAAAGGTAGAAGTGTTAACTGATACTGAAGCTCCCCCTGGTGGAGGGTAAAATTATAGATTATGTATTAACTTAGTTTCTAAAACTAAGATTGTTTGGGGACACTATGAAGCCATTAAAGTTGTTCGTATTCTAGTGGAAAAATGCAAACTACCGACTGTGACATCAAGCCTCCTTTAAATTAGATATTACTCATATAACCAAAGTTAATACATTTTAAATAGCCATAAATACTGATATGGTGTCAGTTCTTGAATATTCACCATATGAGATTCATATAATATCCTTGAGGACTTTTTGATTTTTCTGCTATAAAAATATATCGTATTTTCAGGCACCCTCCCCTCTGGAACCAAGACTAAGGACTTCACATAGGGACAATATAAAAGCACACCTATCTCACTTTCTGACAGGATACCTTTCCATCTTGCTCAGCAATGGCAGACTTCTTTGAGATAACAATGCATGTCTCTGAATTCAGCTGGTCCTGCTCTGCACACTGTGTGCCACAAGGGCATTTTTCTTCACAGTTCTACCTTTATCCCAAGTAGACTGTGTAAGATGTAACAAAGAAATCCAGTACCTGTCGTCTTTTCCTACCATGTCCTAAAACAGAGGACATCGAGTTATGCTCCTAGTCAAGCAGACTTTAACTTGGGAGTTATTCTTACTTAAAATATTTCCTACTTAATCTGGCAAATAACGACACAATCTATGTAACAGGTAATATTTAGAAATGTTTGCTCGCTTATGAGATGTTTATCTATGATTTTAAGTCCAAAGGAATGTTTGAGAGGTGACTTTCAAAGCAGAATGACTTTAGAGGACCTTAAAATATGCTACACTGACCTGGACAGACTGGCCCTAATGCTTCACTTATTTTTTTTTTTAATTTATTGCATTTATGAGATTTTTGGCCCCTCAGTCCCAGACATATGTATAACTGAATCAGTAGAAGGTAAGTATTAGGTAACTAAGTTTATTAGAAACTTAAAAGAATACAATTTCCAAATTTTCTGTTTACAATATTTTAACATTTTCTCAGGTTGGTCAGAGATTACATTTGAAATCTGATCTTTAAATTTCAACTAAGTAACTGATGGGGCTGACCACACTCCTAGGAAGTCTCAACAAGGCATGAACACTACTTCACACCTAGTTGCCACGAGACAGCATCTAGATCCCTGAGCAATGATTTAGACTTTCTAGGACTGGTTTCCTCCTCAACATTCAGGGACAAGGCACAGGGTTTCCTAAGCTTGTTTATTTCCTTCTCTAGCACTTAAGTGGCTAACAAGCTGTTTTGCTCTACCTCTATGGTGTACATAAGTCATATCACCCTAGGTCCATGTCCTACTTAAGCCCCACTTTTTGTAAAAAACAGAAAAAAAAACTGGGAAGGAAAGGAAAAGCACCACTATATAGCCAGCTAAAAATTTAACTTAGCAATCTTTTCCATATGACTACCAACCACTATACTACTTCATATACAGTTGAAGAAAAAGCAACTGACACATCCTTTATATGCTTTTTCACTTTTACCCACTTCTCTTAGATTCTTCGATCTATTATAAAGCAAACTTGAAAATATTTACATAACATTTCATTGGTGGACTTATACTCAACAAATTAACAATGGCAAAATGATTCCCTTGAAATTACAACCTGTGGAAGATCTGAAGTAGTAAAAGTTAAACCCTGATACAGTATTAAACTTATCTTTTTACATATAAAAATAATACACAGTGGGATATTTTATTCAATAAGATACAATCTTTAAGATCAAGAGAGAATATACAAAACTATTGTATGTAGTCTGATGTATTTTACTGTATAATAGGAATAAATATATATAGAACAGAAAGTGCGAGGTCTGTTTGTAGAGAAATCACCATTTACTTAGGGGTTTAAAGCCAAGTGTTCTGCAGGTACCAGCCAGGAAGGAGCTACTGCTGCATTTAAAACAATGTGATCATTATAAAATAAAGGCCTTAAATCTATAAACAATAACAAAAACACACAAACCAAATGAAAATGTACTAAAATTTAATCATCCATAAAAGCTGTAATTTAATCTGACAGTAAAACACAAGAAGCAATATTAGAGGTGGTTTAGTATATTATATATTTTAGCTTTGAAAGCCATAGAAATCAGTTATCCCAGTTTTTTTCTCTATAAAAGACCCATTTTTCCAAAGCATTATGCACAAACAATTTTAATTAGAATATAATGACAGAATGATATTTCATAATTTTTTAAATATAAAATGAAGTCAATGACTCAAAAAAGTTATCTGCTGCAATGAGTCTGAGGGGAAATTTTCATAATCTATATCATTACAGATATAAAGTATAATGGTTCAACTTTTTAGTGCTTGACAGGGAGGAAACATGATAAAAAGGTCAATATGAAATCATTTGATTATAGTAGCAATATCTAACATTTGAAATGCATCCATGCTCTTTTGTATAATCATATTAGAGTCAAGTATATTTATTTTCACATCTGTTATAACTGCTATTGCAAAGGAGAAATACTATTGTCTTATTTTCCAAGAGATATACACAGAGCAATTCTTTTCTCCAGGGAACTTGTGCAAACCAATATAAGATCTAAATTCTTCACATAATATATAAAACAGGAGAAGCCTCTTCAGATTTATTTTTTGAAGTCTGGAATGCTGGCACTTTCCAATTAGGCAACAGTTCTTCATTCCTGTAATCTAGAACATTGAACAGATACAGATATATATATACTGATATATATGGTTAACCTTGATGTCAGAAGATGATAGTAAATAAGTAGATATCTAATAATACAGAGAGAAATAATGATTTTGGCTGATCATTATTAGATAACTAAATTATATTAAACATATATAGTAACAAGGCTATTTTAAACTCCCTTTAAAAATGTTTAAAAAATAGTTTTATTGTACTTAGTGTTTCACAATATATCTGGCAGTCCTGTCTGTAAAGAGGAAAACAGTGATTATTTCATTTCTACTCCATTATCATCTTATTTTTAAAGGTTCCTTTTCCACTAAGGAAACAACTCATGCCTGCATCAAATTCCCAATGGAAATTCTTTATTCAACCATTTTATGATTATTTATATTAGGGTTACCTATTCCAATTCAGGCTAGGACAAGAAGAAATGATACAGAAAGAGCTGATGCCCATTTTCAAGGGCAGAAGACTCAAAGTTAGGTTTACTGCTCAGCGGAAAAGAATTAGGTTAAAGGAATAATTTCCTGAAGATGAATTTCTTTCCTCAGTTTTCAAAAGTAGGACATATTAGAAAGAGACTAACACGCTTCAGTATGATTTTGCCTAATGGCTAGGGCTAGGTAAGCTGCCCTTAAGGTTCACATACTCTTACTAAAAACATTTATAGTGGCTATTTAAATTTATTCCGTATCTCAGTACTTCTTAAATGGGATCAACATGGCACTTCAAGTCTATAAACACAGCAAAATGCTCTGCAAAGTATTCTGATTACTAAGTGATCTATTATTTGGTATTATCAAAAATATGCACAGAGATCTCAGGTAACATTAAATAAACTGTAAGCTGAATTACCTATCAGAGCCTAAGAATTTATGCAACCAGGATGAAAGTCTTATTTCTAGATTTAGGTCAAGATTTCTTTCCTCTAAGGTAAAACTCATAGTAGGACACTGTAGGGTGTACGTGAATGAATTTTCCCAACAGGCCAGGAGATGGCACCTCTTCCTTTAGACATAAGCTAAAAGGACATTTTCTGAGAACTGGACATTAAACGAGGGTCAGCTAAGATAATGATAAAAATGAGCCAGTCAGGGGCTTCCCTGGTAGTGCAGTGGTTAAGAATCCACCTGCCAATGCAGGGGACACGGGTTCAAGCCCTGGTCCGGGAAGATCCTACATGCCATGGAGCAACGAAGCCTGTGTGCCACAACTACTGAGCCCCGCACTCTAGAGCCTGCAAGCCACAACTACTGAGCCCATGTGCCACAACTACTGAAGCCCACACGCCTAGAGCCCATGCTCCACAACAAGAGAAGCCACCACAATGAGAAGCCCGCACACCGCAATGAAGAGTAGCCCCCACTCGCCGCAAGTAGAGAAAGCCCATGCACAGCAACGAAGAACCAAAGCAGCCAAAAAAAAAAGAAAAAAAAAGCCAGACAACTAACTGTAGAAGAGTTAAATACATTTCAGAACAGGAACTGGAGTTCTCATTTTTTTCTACCTTTGTACCCTTACCTAAAGAAACACAAATACTATCAACTTTAACAATAATCACCTTCAAGGAGCTGATGATTTATAGTTACTGACTCAAGGTTTCACTAAAAGCCTAAGCAAGCATTTGGCCAGAAGCTGTTTTTCCAAAATCTCACTATCCAGAGGCAATCTGTGACCTTTACTCCTTTCTGTCTATTTTCCCTCTACTTCATTTCAAAAAGGGGTACAATTACTCAGTTGTTTCCCCTAAGAGAGTTTCATTCATATCTCTAAGGAAGCACATATTAGTTAATTTGATGCTCCAGAAGATGTAATCTACTAAACAGACCCAAGAGACTTACAAGAGTTTTAGCACAACCAACTTTCCTCTAAGCGGACCCAGTTTAGTAACAGTCCCATAATTAGCATCAAATTACACCATAAATCCACTCCATGAAAGTATTCTTTTATGGTAATGTTTACAGAGTTGATGAACATAAGTAAAAACTGTTCAGGGGATTTAAATATATAATTAAAGGAAAACAAATGGTCCTACATGGCCTGGCTGCTTACGTGATAGGCAGCTTCAATGCAGCCACTAATTTCTCTCCAATGGGTTCACTTAATGAAAACTTAAGTGGTACTTAAAGTTGACTACTACCTACAGACCTACAGAAGAAACATTTGAAAGAAGTCAACCCACACCTGGGAGGAAATGACTTCTAAAACTACACTGACATACCAACACACATCCAGCAGAATGTCTCAAGTTACAAAGACTGACAATACCAAATTTGGGGAGGATGTGGAACTCGTAAACTGCTAGTAGGTGTGTAAACTGGTACAACTACTTGGAAAAATTTCTTAGCAGTATCCACCAAAGCTACCACATATATAGTGTATAGTCTGGCCATTTCATTCATACACACACACGCACACACACACACACACACACACACACACCAAACAGAAATGCATGCACATGTACATAAAGACTTGTACAAGAAAGTGCACGGGACAGCTTCATCTACCACAGGGCAGACAGCAGAAGCAAGAAGAACTACAACCCTGAAGCCTGTGGAACAAAAACCACATTCACAGAAAGATAGACAGGATGAATAGGCAGAGGGCTATGTACCGGATGAAGGAACAAGATAAAACCCCAGAAAAACAACTAAATGAAGTGGAGATAGGCAACCTTCCAGAAAAAGAATTCAGAATAATGATAGTGAAGATGATCCAGGACCTCGGCAAAAGAATGGAGGCAAAGATCGAGAAGATGCAAGAAATGTTTAACAAAGACCTAGAAGAATTAAAGAACAAACAAACAGAGACGAACAATACAATAACTGAAACGAAAACTACACTAGAAGGAATCAATAACTGAGGCAGAAGAACGGTAAGTGCCTGGAAGACAGAATGGTGGAATTCACTGCTGTGGAACAGAATAAAGAAAAAAGAATGAAAAGAAATGAAGACAGCCTAAGAGGCCTCTGGGACAACATTAAACGCAACAACATTTGCTTTATAGGGAGGGGTCCCAGAAGGAGAAGAGAGAGAGAAAGGACCAGAGAAAATATTTGAAGAGATTATAGTCAAAAACTTCCCTAACATGGGAAAGGAAATAGCCAACCAAGTCCAGAAAGCACAGCGACTCCCATACAGGATAAACCCAAGGAGAAACATGCCGAGACACACAGTAATCAAATTGGCAAAAATTAAAGACAAAGAAAAATTACTGAAAGCAGCAGGGGAAAAATGACAAATAACATACAAGGGAACTCCCATAAAGTTCACAGCTGATTTCTCAGCAGAAACTCTACAAGCCAGAAGGGAGTGGCATGATATACTTAAAGTGATGAAAGGGAAGAACCTACAACCAAGATTACTCTACCCGGCAAGGATCTCATTCAAATTCGACAGAGAAATCAAAAGCTTTACAGACAAGCAAAAGCTAAGAGAATTCAGCACCACCAAACCAGCTCTACAACAAATGCTAAAGGAACTTCTGTAAGTGGGAAACACAAGAGAAGAAAAGGACCTACAAAAACAAACCCAAAACAATTAAGAAAATGGTCATAGGAACATACATATTGATAATTACCTTAAATGTGAATGGATTAAACGCTCCAGCCAAAAGACACAAGCTTGCTGAATAGATACAAAAACAAGACCCATATATATGCTGTCTACAAGAGACCCACTTCAGACCTAGGGACTGAAAGTGAGGGGATGGAAAAAGATATTCCATGCAAATGGAAATCAAAAGAAAGCTGGAGTAGCAACACTCATTATCAGATAAAATAGACTTTAAAATAAAGAATGTTCCAAGAGACAAGGAAGGACACTACATAATGATCAAGGGATCAGTCTAAGAAGAATCTATAACAATTATAAATATATATGCACCCAACATAGAGCACCTCAATACATAAGGCAACTGCTAACAGCTATAAAAGAGGAAATTGACAGTAACACAATAATAGTGGGGGACTTTAACACCTCACTTACACCAATGGACAGATCATTCAAACAGAAAATTAATAAGGAAACAGAAGCTTTAAATGACACAACAGACCATAGAGATTTAATTGATATTTATAGGACATTCCATCCCAAAACAGCAGATTACACTTTCTTCTCAAGTGTGCATGGAACATTCTCCAGGGTAGATCACATCTTGGCTCACAAAATCAAGCCTCAGTAAATTTAAGAAAACTGAAATCATATCAAGCATCTTTTCTGACCACAACACTATGAGGTTAGAAATCAATTACAGGGAAAAAAACGTAAAAAATACAAACACACGGAGGCTAAACAATACATTACTAAATAACCAAGAGTTCACTGAAGAAATCAAAGAGGAAATCAAAAAATACCTAGAAACAAATGATAATGAAAATACGACGATCCAAAACCTATGGGATGCAGCAAAAGCAGTTCTAAGAGGGAAGTTTATAGCTATACAAGCCTACCTCAAGAAACAAGAGGAGTCTCAAATAAACAATCTTACCTTACACCTATCTAACCTTACATCTAAAGGAACTAGAGAAACAAGAACAAACAGAACCCAAAGTTAGCAGAAGGAAAGAAATCATAAAGATTCAGAGCAGAAATAAATGAAATAGAAACAAAGAAAAAAATAGCAAAGATCAATAAAACTAAAAGCTGGTTCTCTGAGAAGATAAACAAAATTGATAAGCCATTAGCCAGACTCATCAAGAAAAAGAGGGAGAGGACTCAAGTCAATAAAATTAGAAATGAAAAAGAAGTTACAACAGACACCACAGAAATACAAAGCATCCTAAGGGACTACTTACTACAAGCAACTCTATGCCAATAAAATGGACAACCTGGAAGAAATGGACAAATTCTTAGAAAGCAATAGAAAATATGAACAGACCAATCACAAGTAGTGAAATTGAAACTGTGATTAAAAATATTCCAACAAGGGCTTCCCTGGTGGCGCAGTGGTTGAGAGTCCGCCTGCCGATGCAGGGGACACGGGTTCGTGCCCCGGTCCGGGAAGATTCCACATGCCGTGGAGCGGCTAGGCCCGTGAGCCATGGCTGCTGAGCCTGCACATCCGGAGCCTGTGTTCCGCAATGGGAGAAGCCACAACAGTAAGAGGCCCGCGAACCGTGCAAAAAAAAAAAAAAAAAATTCCCACAAACAAAAGCTCAGGACCAGATGGCTTCACAGGTGAATTCTATCAAACATTTAAAGAAGAGCTAAAACACCCATCCTTCTCAAACTCTCCCAAAACATTGCAGAGGAAGGCACACTCCCAAACTCATTCTATGAGGCCACCATCACCCTGATACCAAAACCAGACAAAGATACTACAAAAAGAGAAAATTACAGACCAATATCACTGATGAATATAGATGCAAAAATCCTCAACAAAATACTAGCAAACAGAATCCAACAGCACATTAAAAGGATCATACACCAGGATCAAGTGGGATTTATCCCAGGGATGCAAGGATTCTTCAATATATGCAAATAAATCAATGTGATACACCATATTAACAAATTGAAGAATAAAAACCATATGACCATCTCAAAAAAAAAGAAAAAATAAAAAGTGCACAGGCACCATACTTGTTCCTGGAAAGAACCCAAATGTCCATCAACAGCAGAATACATAAATATATTGCTAGTATAGTCATACAATAAAAATAAACTACTGCTGTATGCAACGAGGATTATTCTCAAAAACATTTCTGAGTGAAAGAAGCCACACATAAAATAACACATTAAGTGTTTTTGTTTCTGTTAAGTTCAAAGAGAGGCAAAACTAATCCATTGTGTCAGGAATCAGGGCTGGGATTACATCTGAGGAGGAATGACTATTACTGATATATATGTGTGCTCACTTTGAAATATTTCATCAAAAAAAAAATTTATTTTCAGATAAACCACTGTTCCACTTCAATTCAGCTTGAACTTCGGTGTGACCTTGGAAGGCTTTCTATTCATTGAACCACTATTGTTTGAACACCCATTCTGTACCAGGTACTGGGGATGTACTGGTGAGTAAAACAGACATGATCCTTGCCCTCCCTCAGACAGCTTAGAATCTCATGGAGAAAAAGACAAATTATCCAGTAGATGAACATATCTATAAATTATATAAAACATTTACAAATTACAGAAGCCTGGAAATACCCTAAGAGGTGAAATGGGAAGTGGTTAATGTTGGGGAAAGCCCCAAATAAGAGGATGAGAAAGGTATCTGCTCTGCTTTTAGCATCTTACCTGGCTCAGAGCTGCTGCTTATTGTGGGTCTAAAGCAGCAGACATGATTTCTTTTTAGGCTTCTTCTTTTCCACTGGTGTTTTTCTATTTATCTGTCTGACCAGGTCATAAAATATCTAAATAAAAACAAGAAAAAGTACTTATTTAACCAATATTTGAGACCTTGTTCCACAAAACAATCTTGATTCTGTGAAATACTATTCTGCTCTTGGATCTCTATTTTGCTGCTTTGTTTTAACAGCAGGTTTCTAAGAAGCCTCAGTTGATTTTCAGTCAGGGTAAAGCACAACTTATGTACTTACAATGAGGGAAATACACTTGCTTTTAGAGATATTCAATAACAAATTAGTAAAAAGAATTAGTAGTTAAAAAAACAAGATAGTGAAGTGGAATCTTTGATGCTTCAAAAACCTAATTATTAAGAGAATAGTTAATGCTTCACTTATATCTTTATACTTGCTTTATTTTTTAAAAAGTTCAAACTTACAGAAAAGTTGCAGGTACCAAGAACTTATGTATTTTCTTCACCCATATTCACCAGTTAGTAATATTTTGCCAAATGTACATTTTTCCAAAGAAGAAATGCAGATGGCCAACAGGCACATAAAAAGATGCTCAACATCGCTCATCATCAGGGAAATGCAAATCAAAACCACAATGAGGTATCACCTCACACCTGTTAGAATGGCAATTATCAAAAAGAACACAAATAACAAATGTTGATGAAGATGTGAAGAAAAGGGAACCCTCCTACACTGTTGGTGGGAATGTAAATTGGTGCAGCCACTGTGGGAAACAGTATGGAGGTTTCTCAAGAAAACGAAAAATAGAGCTACCATATGACCCAGCAATTCCACTCCTGGGTATATATCCAAAAAAACCCAAAAACACTAATTTGAAAAGATACATGCATCCCATGGGACTTCCCTGGTGGTCCAGTGGGTAACACTCCATGCTCCCAATTCAGGGGGCCCGGGTTCGATCCCTAGTCAGGAACTAGATCCCACATGCATGCTGCAACTAAGAGGTCCGCATGACGCAACTAAAAAAAAAGATCCCTAGTGCCATAACTAAGACCTGGCGCAGCCAAAGTAAGTAAGTAAGTAGGTAAAGAAGTAAATAAATAAATATTGTTTAAAAAGATACATGCACCCCAATGTTCATAGCAGCATTATTTGCAACTGCCAAGATATGGAACTGTCCATCAACAGATGAATGAATAAAGAAGATGTGGTGTATATATACAATGGAATACTACTCTGCTATAAAGAAAGAAATTTTGCCATTTGCAGCAACATGGATGGACTTAGAAGGCATTATGCTAAGTGAAATAAGTCAAAGACAAATATTGTGTGATATCATTTATATGTGCAATCTAAAAAATACAACAAACTAGTGAATATAATAAAAAAGAAGCAGACTCACAGATACAGAGAACAAACTAGTGGTTACCAGTGGGGACAGGAAGAGGGGAGGGGCAATATAGGGGTAGGGGTTAAGAGGTACAAACTATTAGGTATAAAATAAGCTACAACGATATATTGTACAACATGGGGAATATAGCCAATATTTTATAATAACTATAAATGGAGTTAAAACCTTTAAAAATTATGAATCACTACACTGTACACCTATAACATATAATATTGTACAGCAAACTATACTTCAATTTAAAAAATAATGGTCCTAAGATTACAAGCCTAAATTAACTGTTGAAGGGAGGACCCCTTCATTTACCCCCCTTTGGGATAAACAGATTTATCCCAAAGCTATTGATTCATTTATATTCTTTTCTTTCTGGTCCATCCTACACACTCTCCCATTTTCTTTCAACCATTTAATTATATTATCTTATTTCGAAGAAAGTTGAAAACATAAGAGTTTATGAACAAAATGGTAGTTTCTGTTTCACAGCTCCAAAGCCCTTCAAGAACTTAATGTTCATAAGCCATAAACAAAATCTCATTAGTTCCCCAGCCTCAGTGCATAATCTATAAGTGAAAAATAACAAAAGGATAAACTAAAATAGTAAATTAATCAAAACAGCATGTTTCTTCATGGTAGCCATGGGTTTCTGGTACTAAACAAAACGGTAACTGGTTTTGTGGTATTACCCTTAAGGATTTCCTTGGCAAACGGTGCCTACCTCACAGCAGCAGTGATGAGGGCAAGTTCGAACTATAGTTATTTGGTTAGATATGGTGAAAGCCCTCGGTCTAGGTTCTTCCTCATCCTTCTGAACTACAGAAAAATCTAAAGGGAACACAGAATAATTTCTCAATCCCTCTATCATTCCTTAATTGGGATGTTTTGATTACAATTATTATTCCAGCATCAGCAAAGAACAATTAATTCTTGATTAAGACTGATGTGATTCTGATACAACTATGTACTACTTTCAAAACACAACAAAAATGATGAGTTTTTTAAAAAAATATTTATTTTTACTTATTTATTTTGGCTGTGCCGTGTCTTAGCTGTGGCACGTGGGATCTTCGTTGCAGCATGTGGGAACTTTTTTTTAAGTTGAGGCATGCGGACTTCTTACTTGCGGCGTGCATGCGGGATCTAGTTCCCCGACCAGGAATCAAACCTGGGCCCCCTGCATTGGGAGAATGGAGTCTTACCCACTGGACCTCCAGCGAAGTCCCAAGAGTTTTTTTAAAAAAATTATATATTCTCTGATATAGATAGTAGAGAATTAGAGGGCAATTTAGTTAAGCAGGATGTCCCTGTATGATTTCAAACTTGAGTCCAAGAGTTCAATCATGTGAAAGTATGATCTCTCTATCTTCAGGCACTCAGAAATCACACACATATTTTCAAGGCATTAGCTGTCTGAGGAACTATTAACTACCCCCAAAACTCCATAGTTGGATTATTAGGCTATCAAGAGAGAAATATTAAAAGAAAGAAATTATTACACTCTCAAGAATTTCTAGCATAAAGTTTGTATCTTTTCCAAAAGAGTAAAGAACCTTAAGTAGCTAATGTATTTCATTTTGTTGTATTTTTTTCTATTTTTGTTTTATAAACCTTCATGTCAATGGTTGATTTCAACGAGGCTACTGTGAAAAAGTACCTCTGCTGCATGGGAAACTGAAACCCAGAGGAGGGAGATCTAGTAGCATGTAAGTTCCCACAAACAGGTAATGCTTGAAAGGTAAGGAATACCTCCGGTCCACTGTGCTCACTGGACCCTGGCCCAACTCAACCTCAGCCGAGCCCTATGAACTTGGTGGTCGGGTACCAGTGAGGGTGATCACAGGACAGCAGGAACTATATCTCTAAGGCCAATCATCCTGCAGATGGTGACCGTGCACTACTACTCCCCTAGCCAAGCTCATCGTTTTACCTCATGTGTTTATGTGTTTTACCTTAAAGTTCTCTCTCTTTTCTTTTTTGGTGGTGGTATGGGGGAGACTAAACCAAAAATCAACATTTTATGATCAGCCATGTTTTTCAGGATAACATCTATGAAACTGTAATTCCACAACAGAGGAAGTTGAAACTGGAAGCATTTCATACTTCCTTTCATTTACTTGGCAGTGAATTACAAATAACTGTTGTTGAAGATCTCAGCAGGACTTGTTCCCCATTAGGATGTAAACTTCTTGAGGGCAAGAATAGTGTCTGTCTAAATGACTGTTACCCTGGTGCCTAACACAGTGGAACATAAGAACACAATGAATATTTGCTGAATAAATAAAATTTATGAATTTCTTATTTTTATGTATTTATTAAAACTGGTTTTACCTGAAAGACAAGCTTTGACTTATTATTTGTAAAACTTATTCATTTATTTATGGCTGCGTTGGGTCTTCATTGTGGTGCGCGGGCTTCTCATTGCGGTGGCTTCTCTTTGCTGTGGAGCACGGGCTCTAGGGCGTGGGCGCGTGGGCTCAGCTGCTCCGCGGCATGTGGGATCTTCCCGGACTGGGGCTCGAACCCGTGTCCCCTGCATTGGCCGGCGGATTCTTAACCACCTCGCCACCAGTGAAGTCCCACAACCTTAAATTTTCTTCGTGCCACACGTTTAAAGTAATTTGGTCATTTAAAAAGTCAAATAATAGTCTACAACCATAATATCAGTGAAGGAAAAGTGACCAAAAGAACCAAAGGCCAGAGAGGAATTATAAGCAAAAACACACCAGAGGACTCTGATAACCTAAACCAGTCTTAACTCTCATCTATGTTGTAAGTGTGCTGAACTCTGACTGATTACCTGTGATGCTACAAATGGCAAGCACACTGGCAAATGAAGACTTTTGTACTACTGGGAAAGGAAAGCCTATTCTGCTTTTTTCTTTTTTTTTTTAAGAAAAAAAAAAAGGCTTATGTTAAAATAAACAAAAAGCAAAGGAAACTCTTAAGATTTTGTTTGGATGTAGTGGTCGCAGTTGGGGATTGCACTAATCTTTTAGGGATCCGGTAAACTATTGGCCCTTTACATCCAGGCAGGCAAGCTTACTTGTTAAGCATTCCTGTCCCCAGCTATGTTCTCAGGATAGTGGAGTAGTTAAGTCACGGACAAAAAAAGCCTTGTGCAACCTGCTGTATCAGGCCTAAAAGACCGAGTGAATTATAGTTCTGTATCCATCCACACTCACACAGATTCTTCCCTTTGAGTCATGCACCAAAGGGAAGCAGGACTCAAAACACCAAATTCCATGATATCTTTCTGTACAATGTAAGTTCATTACAGTAACTACTTCTATTTTTTTATTTTTCTACTTGACTTTACAACCTTTTTACACACATCTGTATAGGTAATTGTTATAATACAAGGGTGATGTGACAATTTTCACACACCACTTTCTGGCTTATCATTTAGAGGCTTAGCAGGACTTTAAAAAACATATTCTTTAACTTAAACCACCTCTTTGCCAACAAGGTAAATATAAGTGTCCTCATCACAGCCAACAAAGTGATTTCATATAAGAGAAGGAATATGGTTTCTAGGAATTACTTAGTGTTTTCCATAAATTGATAGATAAAAGACTACTTAAAAGAACACCACTTTTTCTTTTTAAAAAAATGTTTTTGGCTGTTAACTTGAAAGAAAGGAAACTAAAAAGGCACTTATTTGTGCTGCCTAGCAGCTGTAGTTTACCTCATTAACGTTGATCTTCGACTTTGCAGAAGATTCTAAAAAGGCACAGTTACACCACTGTCTTGCTAAATTCTGACCCTGTTCTTTGCCAACTACTCGCTCATCTTCCAGGTCACATTTATTACCAACCAAAATCATTGGAACCTGCGAGAAGGAAAAAATCATATAATAAGCCCTAACAAACTTGTTACTCAGCCTTTTATAAGTAAGCAACTACCAGCCACCAACTGAAATGTCTTAATTAGGACTATAATCTTCATCAAGTGCTTAAAAAAAGGTGTACGTACGTGCGTTGGGGGGAAAATGGAGGGGGAAGAGACAGAAAAAATATGGACAAGATTCTACAACACTGATCTGCTAAATTATTTTAAGACTATAATCCCAAAATGCTCAGGTGGACTAATGCTAATGGCTGAATTCCAAGTAGAAAAATCTGAAGGAAAAGGAACCTCCTGCAATACTCATTGTCTTGGTGTGTTTTAAGTGCCTCATTTCACAGGACCAAAAAATGCCAATAGCAGCGGCAAGACCAACACGTTAATAAGTTTTACTTCTACAACTGACATCTAGATCTGAAGACTAGCTTAGGTGAGATATTAAGGAAAAGAATAGAAATACAGCCACTGAGTAGCTATGTCTTCATCTACAACTCAATCTTTAGTTTATTACATGGGATAAAGAGATTAACATTACCAGAATTCAGTGATTTGCATGTAATTGCCTATGAAAAGAGAGCTCTCTTAGATGAATCAGTCATGGGAAGAAAGAGAACTATTCATTAGGTTATGGTTGGTCATGAGTCATATGGTGCAAATTCCTCCCGCCTACAGTATTACCCAAAGTTGAGGTCTTAAGCAGGTGCCTATGTTCCCATTAATAATGAGAGAGAACACACAAAAACAGAAAAGAAGGTACAAATGAAATTTTATATCCTAATTTATACAACTTTTGAAAAAGGAACTTTCTGTAGCTCAAAACTGAGACAAACGTAAAATATACATTTAATCTTTGCAAAAAGGCAAAACAACAAGGATGCTATTCATCAAATAAGACAAGAATTCTAAAACAGTATATTTTACAATAAAAAATTAACATTAAAATAAGAATTCTAAAACAAAAACAAAAAAAATATAAAAATGTAAGTTAATTAAAATCTTTAACATAATTCAAAGGAAAAAACTAAGTAAAAACTGTACCAACAGAATTTTAGAGATAGGAACACAGCATTATGGTTCTTAATAATGTTCTCTGAACACTGTTTCTGACATAACTACCAACTTTCCAAGCCCAACTGGAGTCCCCCTTCTTCTACCAAGTACTCTTTGATTCTTCTTTCTCCACTCCACTTATGACCCACATAGCACCATGTAGGTCATAAGTGCAGTAGAGAAAGAAGAACTTTACATACGTGTCCTTCTTTTCTAATCATCTCAGCGTATTATCTGTAGGTAAATTTAGAAAGCTTAAAAACGTTTTTGGTCACCAGGGCTCTTAGGCGCATGGTAAATACCCTCTAAATCCTCTACTGATAGAGAAAATGGACACTTATTATTTGGCCACAGAGAGATGGCAGTATGCTATATATAGAGAGAAATACTTACATCTTCTGTGTCCTTAACCCGTAAAATCTGTTCCCTCAGGTCTTGTAAGTCATTAAATGTGGACTGAGCTGTAATAGAATATACTAGTGCAAACCCTTGGCCATTCTTCATATACAAATCTCTCATCGCTGTAAACTGCTCCTATAATAAAAAATATGCAATTATAAATATGACTTCTTAAATGTATATTGAAACAATTTAAATCAGAATAATCACAAGTGAGCTACTGAATTTTTTTTTAATGTATGTATGTATGTATATATAAATATTTTTTGGCTGCATTGGGTCTTCGTTGCTGCACGCGGGCTTTCTCTTGTTGCGGTGAGCGGGGGCTACTCTTTGTTGTGGTGCGTGGGCTTCTTATTGCAGTGGCTTCTCTTGTTGCGGAGCACGGGCTCTAGGCACACGGGCTTCAGTAGCTGCAGTACGCAGGCTCAGTAGTTGTGGCTCGCGGGCTCCAGAAAGCAGGCTCAGTGGTTGTAGTGCACGGGCTTAGTTGCTCCGCGGCATGTGGGATCTTCCTGGACCAGGGCTCAAACCTGTGTCCCCTGCACTGGCAGGCAGATTCGTAACCACTGCGCCACCAGGGAAGCCCTGAATTCTTTATTACATGTTATCATGACAGGAAACATAAGACGTGATACACGGTTTCTGGAAAATTTGACATGAATGTTCCTGTCCCCTACGTACATGACTAGAAACAACTACAGAATTAGAACGGAAATCTTAACCACTTTAATTTGTTTCTGTGTGATTTAGAAAAACTGCATATAGTTCCTTTTTATATACAGATTTTAATTATTTTGGTGCTACAAAAGATGATGTCCAAGGTAGTGGTTTTGGAAAAGAGAAGTCCAAGTACTGAACCCTGAGGCCCTCCAACATTAAGAGGTTGGGGAAATGAAGACAAATCAGGAAAGGAGACTTAGGAGTAACGAATCATACAGGGAGAAAAGCAAGCAAGTGTTGTTTCCTAGAAGTCAAATGAATAAAATTTTTACAGATAAGGATAATGATCTACTGAGTCAAAGGTTGCTGAAAAGTCAAGAAGGTTGAGGATATATCCGAGGGATTGATTATGAATGACAGACCATGGACTTGAAGCTGTATAAAGAGGGGGTTGAGGATATGATAGATAATCAAAGATGTTAGATTTAACAGACTGCAGATTACAGTCAGGTTGAAAGGTATGAAAGGAAGTGAGATGGAGAAACAAGAGATGGTTAGTAGAGAGTAGGACACTTGAAAATGAGATTTAAGATGGTATTATGTTACTGGTAATCATATAGTCTAGGGTAAAGAACACGGGCATGAATGACTGAAGCAGGGTGGAGGTCAAGGAACTGAGAGGCCAAGCTACTGGATCATCTATATTACCCGTAAAGATTCTATTTGGATACTAAAATCACCAAGAATTCGGACTAAAGCAGTGTTGGAGAAAGTAAGCAAAAATCCTCAAGGAGTAAGGAGTGATCTAGAACAAGATCAAAGAGCATCAACTACTTTCCAGACGTTATGCAAGGCACTGGGGACAGAGAAGTAAACAGAAAATTACAACACAGCATGCTGAGTGCTAGGATGGTAGAAATACAAGATATTTGAGAGCACAAGCCGAAGATCTCTGCAGAAGGGGAAAATTTTAATTTGGACAAGAGGAGGAAGAAACAATGCCCTCACACTTGTGGAGGCTGTGAAAGGAAGAAATAGAAAGTTTTTTTTTTTTAACTGTTGGGGTCTTTGGGAACAAAGGAGAATTATTGCTGATTCAGAAGCTACGAAATTTGGGGGTTGGACGAAGTGGCAAGAGGGGGAGGTCTCAATTCAGCTGATATAAGAAAGAAGGCGTTCCAGTGATCCAAAGCTTCCTGTTGGAATCAAGATCCATTTTCCCACAAAAGAATAGAAAAATATGGTATAATTCGTACTCTAATTGCTCCAGTCTGCTTAAGTTTTTTTTTTGATCTGAAGCTTTCTTACCATTTATAAAATTATAGTGGGAATATTTGTGCTGAATTTTAAAACAACTTAAAACATTTAAGAATACCATCCAGGGCTTCCCTGGTGGCGCAGTGGTTGAGAGTCTGCCTGCCGATGCAGGTGACACGGGTTCGTGCCCCGGTCCGGGAAGATCCCACATGCCGTGGAGCAGCTAGGCCCGTGAGCCATGGCCGTTGAGCCTGCGCGTCCGGAGCCTGTGCTCCACAACGGGAGAGGCCACAACAGTGAGAGGCCCGCGTACCACA